GGTATATTAATTTATAAATTATGTATTTTGGGGTTTATCCACCTTCCTTCCTTCCTATCTTCTTCCTAAACCTTATTGAATTATGACCAGACTACTAAGTTGGTGATACATTGTATTCGCTAATAAATTACTCTCATTAAAAGTCGCTTCATGAGAAGTCCTTCTTTCCGGATTAGGATATAATGTTGCACTTGGGTCCATCGCTCTCGCAGCGGGAACTAGCCCACATCACTTACTCATCTCTGGCCGTGGTCAGTGGCTACTTGGCGGGGTTTACTTAGTGGCTGCTGCCAGAGGGATATAGAGATATATAGTATTCGTAGATGCAGATGCGGTGTTTGTGTGTGTGTGTGGGGTATCTGTGTGCTGGTGGGTTTCGGCTCTGGCTAGCAACAACATCAAAAGTTCATTATGCGCGCAGGCGAATCGTGACATTGCATAATGGCAGCTGCAAGTGGACTCGCGAGTGGCCAGGCGGACATGCAAGGCGCCGCCGACGTCTTCGTCTTCGTCTTGGCCGTTCCCCAGTCAAAGGTGGTGTACGGGTACACAAGGTACAACCACACACACACTGGTAGAAGCTGGTGTAGATGCCACACCTACGTGGAAGGTGCAACAGCTGGGACTGCGAAATTGATTCGCCGCCTAACGGCAGAGTGGCCGCCCGCCGATCTCCGTTCTCATTCACATCTAAATCCCCATCTTCATCTCGATCGCAACCCCATCAGTCAGCTCATCATCTTTAGTAGCTACCGCACACAGCGTTTACTGTGGGCTATATTCAATTTTTTGGGTCAACCCTAGCCTCCGAAATGGACGCCTCTGCACAGCAATAACCATTTCACATTTCCATATTCCAATACACAATACGAAATATTTATGGCTAATAAACATGGCACGAATTGAAAAGCCTGAAATTAATTAACTTTAAAGTTAGGTACCACTCCAAAGCTTCCATCTAAATCAATAAGACATAACTTTTTTAATAGGTAAATATTGAATGAAGTAGACAGATATGTATATTATGCTGATGCTGAAGATGAAGATAAATTGTCCCAAGTGACTTACTTTTATACTAATAAAACACTTTTTCCTTAGCTAAAATCTTTAGTTGAGTACTTTTTCTTGAGAGTATGGAAATTATAGAAATGATAATCAATTCTTGGGACAATTTTCTCCATGTGTTCCCTTGGCTTCGATTCTTGGTCCAGGTTGCAATTAGAATCTTTGTCGTGTCGCTGGCTTATCGCCGCACACTTTCCGACATTTTCGAGGTGTGTTCTCGGCCAGCTTTCTTCTGTCTTGCCAGCCCATTCTGGCCCATCTGAGACCATCCCATACCACACCATACCATACCATTCCGATTGCCATTCGCATTTCCCCTCCTGCAAGAGATAAAAAGAATATGTTGCGGGTATTTTTTCCCATTTCTCTTTCTAGGTTATCGCTTATAACAACTCGTACATGGCTCTTTTTTGTCATACTCCATGGACTGCGACTATGAGTTTAGTTAAGACGGAGTCATATAATAAAGGCGTTCCAAGGCATGCTCGGAAATTGTCCAACGTCTATATTTGGTGTCTATGCTGTGTTCTGGTCCTCCCCGAGCCCCAAGCCCCTGGATCCGGGGATCCGGCCATTCTGCTGACCACAACTTGACCACGGAGCCAAAGACTCGCCTTCGGAAGAATGGGAGTAGAGATGTGTGCCATGTTGACCCGTTTTTATTATGTTCAACATGCGGGAGCAGCGGGGAGGCGGGCGAGGAGGGGCCAACTGGAACGCTTGACATGTGCACCGAAGCCAATCCAAAACGCTGTTCAACATGGCCAAAATATTCGCAAATGCGGTCAAAGTTGAAAAGGTTGCCGCGAAACTGGAGTGAGTGCATCGCAGTTGGTCAGCGAGTGGATGACTGCTTGTTTGTAGATAAACAAATGTACCAGGACGCTACCGAATCGGAATCTGGAGTGTGCGAAGTTGTTTGTACTGGTAGCAATGGCCAAGATAGTTGCCACTTGCAACACATTTGGTTCATGTCGAGGGCGATAAAAGTTTATGGAAATGGGGAAATTGTATTCAAGTTGAATGTGGGATGGTGACCCCTTTAAAATTTTAAAGCTGTAAACCATAAAATAATTATGAATTGCATTAATACGATTATAAATCTACATGAAAATATTATGATATAAAAATGTCTAATTACCTTACACTTTGAAGGGTTATTAAATGGGTAAATGTTTTATGTAAAAAACCAAAGTAAATAATGTACTACTTATGATTGTACTTCTCATGATTTTATTTATGTTACTTGTATTTCCTGTTCCCGTTTTATCTAAGTGATAATCCACAGACGAATGCCAGAGCAGATCTCGTTAGGCCATTAGTTGATCATTAGCAGATCACACATAACTCATCTCGAAAAAAGTGGATCACTGGTCGCCACACTTTCCCGCACTTCGGCAGCAATTAGCCGCCGGATTGGAGAGCCATCAATTCCCAATTCGATTGGACGGATGCCGGGGCTACCGAAGAGCCTCTTCTCTTCTCAATCAGCCTCAATCAAAGATTGTCCGTTTGGTGGATGGACCGATGGACCGATGTACGAGTATAAACGATCGATCCCCTTAAAAGCGAACAAACGAAAATTGCGGCGAAATCGACGAATAATGCGCGAAACAAATAAATAATTGCCCGCTAAAAAGTCAAACAAATCTTCGGCTACACCAAAAAGGAGTAACAACAGCCAAATACTGACAATGTCGGAATTGCTATATATAAGCGGCAAATAATATTAACAGCGAACAAACAAACGCCGATCAATCAATCAATCATTTTCTCTCAGACGTCGATGGCGAAGACTCGAGGCTGGATTGAGTTGGATCCAGCCGGCTGGTCTTGCCCTATGGATTTGATATGGCCATAACCCATAAACCAGCCCCTTGTCTTCTTAGCCTTGTCTTCTGCCCGGTCTGGGCGGCTGTGCAATTAAATAAACGAAAGTTTTTCATTAATTTCGATTGCAGCCAGACGACACTTAGACCAGGGCCTCATCTTCCTCCTCCAGTTCCTTCCCCCGATCTTTGAACAATTCCAATTCATTAGCCACGCTTTGGCTGGGCTTTTGGGCCAGCTTGGCGATGGCTGGCTGGAAGCCTGTTTTCGGTGGATCTGGTCTTGGTCTTCGCCTTGGTCTTGGTCTTGGTCTTGGGTCCAAGACCTGATCCGCTCTGGAGTGGGGCGTGCTCTCGTGCTGCTCATAAATGTCTGATGGATGTGACGTGCCTTGATGTATTTCACTTTTCTTCTCCGCTTTTCCTAGACGCCAAGCTGGAGTTGTTAAGTGCCAGCACATACTCACGATGTTGCCGCCGCTGCCCAACAGCAACAACAAATAGTTGTTTGTTATTTTTCTAGTTTCAGAAATTTTCACATTACTATAAAGCAAAGAGAGCCCCGAGAGCTTGAGGTGAAAATAGAAAAATCGCTTGGCAAATGAAAAGCGCGAAAAACGCGCGTAGCGAACAAAGCAAACGAGCCGCTTCCCTCTTGCCAACACACACACTTTGCAGGGATGAGGGTAATAAGTTGGTAGGAAAACAATGCTGGTTTCAGTACACATTTTCCAAAAGCGTACCCGATTTCCCAAGTGCACACATCTTTAATTAGCGATTGTCAGTCTCATCCGTATTGACTCCAAATCAATAGGAGGTCTTCTGACTTCCACTCGTATTTTAAAAATATTTAAGTTAACTGCACTGGATTACTAGATAAACCCTTCTTTTAAATTTCTTCTTTCAGTATCTAGAAGATGGATAGTTAGTTAGTTAGTTTTTTTTAGTTGTCTATACGAGAATATTAGATGCTCCTAGGAAGACAAAGTATCCAAAGAGCATCTAATGTTCGCAGCAACTATTTCCGATCGCCGGCTTTCATTTGGTTTCGGTGTTTGCCATTTCATTTGTCGTCTTATCCGTCATAAGCTCTCCATCTCGGCTCAGTTAGGCCCAACTTGACTTGGGCAGCACAAGCAGCAAAAGGGAAAGTACAAATCGCACTTTTCCTAAGCACTTAGGGCTTGCCATCGGCACTGTCACAAGTCGGTGCAGCATTGGCCCAAGGATGCAACCCAACCCAGAAACAACCTCGAATCGAACCCAGCCCAGTTCGTAAAGCACATCTCAAGTTCGAAATGTGATTCACTTTGATTCACTTTCGCTTTTGTTGCGTTCGAAATTTATTTTCTTCGCTTTGTCTTGGCTATTTTGGTTGGGCGCAGTTGCTAAAAATTAATAGCTTTTTGTCGCGGTTAATACGCGCGTATATCCGCCGGCTGGAGCGACACACATTCTGTCCATATACAAACGTATACTCGCATATATACACATACTATATATATATCCAAGCCATTTGTACTCGAGGTTGGGGGAAAGCTGACTGCACTGTGGCCTCCAAGATTGCGTTGCAATTAATCATCGGACAAAACGCATTGTTCGCGTTCCCCAACTTTGGCGATGGGATCGGGGAACTCGGACGAACTTGGGGCTCTGGAGGTGGAAGTCGGACCCCGGGCCTGTCACGCACCGCTCTCGCCCAGGAACTGCCCATTCCTCGGACTCCGTCCGCTGCTCCCGAATATTAAAGTCGGTCATTGGCGCTTGTCCAGTGGGTTTTTTCATTGCTCCCTCCATTTCCACATACACTTAAGATGTTTGTTTCCTCGTTTTCGCATAGTTTTCTTGACCCAATTCTTACAGAGGATGAGGTGAAAAGCATTCCTTAAGCCTTCTTTCCGAACGAGTTATGTAATCTGCAAGAGAAGTTTACGATTCTACTAATGCGTGTTTATTGCCTATTACTTCCCTTCTATAATTTGCGTAAAAAGCTTAAAATTATATAAAAATACTGAAAAATAGGCAAAACACTAATCGTATTTTCAAGTTAATAAACCACTCCCGACCCAAAGTATTATTTTCCCAAAATTCGCTATGCATATAAACTTGGTTTTATGTAGTTTTATTATTATGTTTTCACTGTATAATAAACTTGGTTTGAATGCATGTATAAGATACATACACACCTTGTATCGAATATATCCTGTATATATATATTCTCATTATGTATGCATGTTGGTATGCGTAAGCGCGTATAAATTAATCGTAATCTTTATAGTACTTATGCAGATCGTACATTATCTACATGGTTGCTGCTCAGTTGATGTTAGTCCTCTTTAAATATACATAGTGGTGTATATGCATGTTTTAATTCGATCTTGAATCGTTTTATAAATCAGCTTAGTCATTATTATCAATATTTAGTGTTATTAATAATTAAAACTTTGCGAAATCCGCAGTTTCGCCTATCAAAAATTACACCTAATCAATTTTCGGTTAGTATTTTGGGGTATGGATCTGGATCTGGGTTTTGGGAACGGGCTTTATGTTTTTCTTTCTACAATACAAAAACAACTCAAGTTGCTCGACTTGATCTACGATCTGACTGGATATATCTCTCTCAGTTTCTCTCTTTATATAGTCATCATTTAAACAATTTTGTTTTATTATTTTGCTTTAGAACACATTGTAGTTTGCAGTTCGTGTGAGAGTGTGTTAATATATTGAAATCAAAAATTGTCTTACAAAAATCAGTAAACTTATAAAACTACTTTCATAGATTTCTTCCAACCCCTTCGGCGGGGGGAAAATGCTTCGATTTGGGATACTAGAGATGTTCACGATTTCCTCTGAGGCTAGTATACTCATTTTGCTCCAGTTCTCTAACAGTTTTTCTAAATCTTTGCTATAGATCTCTAGCTGGTTCCCCTGATTCGGGCTGACTTTATGTCTAACGAGTCTATCAAAAGGGTTCTTGGGTTGAAGTCGTTCAGTTAAAGTCGTTTCTCGGGTTGTATGTCTAGTAAGCCATGCTTAGGGTGTTCTATATTTTGTCTATGTATTGCTTGATCGATCTGAGATTGATATTGGCTAGCCTAGATGTCAGCCGCAAGCTTGGGGAGCAGAAAGCAAGGACCTCCGAGCTGTTCAAAGATAAAGTGATTGGTTAATTCGGAGCTATCTGATATCTCTCGTCGGCTTGAGCTGTTTCAGCTAGTTAGTTCGTTCCAAGTCGCGCTTTGGAATCACCACAAGTCCAAGACTCTAACCCAACTAGACCGACTGGCTGTTAACTGTCGGTCCTCCTCGAGTTCCACCTAACTCTGCCGCTTCTTTGGCATTTTATCGTTTCATTATCGCTTCGTTTTCAATTTGCTGCTTATTGTGTTCGATTGATAGGTTTTGTTTAACATTTAGAAGAGAGATTATGCTTTCATTTCTTTGCTTTCAGTTGAAATACCCGAAATTGATTTTATTTTATTATTTTTATTTACAAAATTTATTTTTACTTTCTTTTCGAAATATAAAATAACTATTTTGTTTCTTTTTCGTATTTTTTTTCTCAATTTTTGTTTTTATTGCGCATATAAAAATATCAAAAATTCTTTTTTTTCTGTTATATAATTTTTTTTTCAATCTTCCTTGTGGAACTATTTGTAAGTCTGTTGTGGTTGATTTCATATATCTTTTGCCTGACTTGCTTTAAGTATACAAAACTTGTTATGAACTTTTCAATGCCAAAAACTAAATGACAAAGTTAAATTTTTTTTTTGTGTCAAAGGTTTAACCTTTTCTGTGGCCTCGAAACGGAGATTTCCATTTTCCGCCCGACACATTTCGTTTCTGTTTGTGTTGCTTTATACCCTTGCAGGGGGTAGTATAACTTCAGTCAGAAGTTTGCAACTCAGTGAAGAAAACACCACCATCTTCTGAGTCGATTTAGAAATACCAGTCTTCTCGTCTGAAAATTTACCAAATGTCGTATAGCTCGTCTAACTTAGCTGCTGGAACCACCGGACATTTTTAGAAAATTCATATGAAAGTCGAAATAATTCCGTTGTCGCATACAAATAGCTTTCGACCTAGCATTTTTTACTAATCGTAATATAGATAGACAAATGTATTTTGTTAAAATCCGATGTCTGCGTCACATAGATGCCATAAAAACCGAGATAATGAATGAAGAAATCGACATAACTTTTTTTTAAATAACTAGTTCCAGTTTAAACTGCAAGGGTATAAAAGCTTCGGCTTGCCGAAGCTAGCTCTTCATTTCTTGTTATTACTTGTTTTCATTTAAAAATGTTTTTTTGCTTTTTTTTATAAATATGTACAAATATATTTTTCGTAAAAAATTATAATAAAAAATGGCGTCAATTGTAATTATTTTGCTGTTATTGTTTCGAAATATGTTTTTGTCTGAATATATCTTTTAGTTGTTTGCTAATTATTGGCGCCTATAAACTGCATTGATGTAAGTTTCCGTCGTTTATTAACTATTAGTTTGTTTCTGTTGTTGTAGTTTTGCATAAAGCACAGCACATTAGAGGCATTTTTAACATTATATATAACTCGTAATTGTTTCTGTTTCTTTTTTGCTTCTTTGGAGTATAAATAATGTAATGTAATGTACACAAGTGTTGCATATTGGGGCGGGGGTTGAGTGTGTATTTCGATTTGTTGCTGTTCAGTTAACTTAACTTCATGTTTGCTATAAGCTAAGTGTCTGTGTGTGAGTGCTGTCCGCGTGAATAATCTGTATAATCAATCAGCTCGAGCTCTCCTGGAGATGCGTTCCCTTAACATTCCTAGGACGAATGACCATATCCTACTACTAAAACGCATCGCCTGAGCCGCTTGGTTAAATGTTTAACTTGCGTTTAAAATTAACTAATCACTTGACGCGCGATGCCCCAAGTGTTATATTTAGATATATGTGTATAATCATATGTAGTAAATTATTTTCCTCGGCTTCGGCTGCTGCCCTCTCGTTCAACGTTCCCTTTTCTCGTTATAAAAATAAGTTACTATCAATTGAATTTTCTTATTATTGGTGTATATATAAACTAGCAAGAAAACCCTTTGCTTGCCTTCGTTATCATGGTATAATTATTATTTAATATATTCTTGCTTTTTGTTTTCTTTTGCCCATTTCTATATGTTATAGGTATAGTATAGTAATAGGTGATGAAGCAGAACATGATGTGTGCTTGTAAAAGTTTGTAAACTTGTTCTATTGCATCGATGCGAGACTTGTGGAAGTACTAATGTGCGACGAGGTGCCCAACGTGGAGGCCATGTCTCCTTGGTAGCTGAACTGTGGCGGCGAAACCAAAAATCGGATGAGCAAACGGTGACCCGCTTTGAGTGTATGCAATGAATCCTTACCTGCGGGAAAAGCGGTTCTTCGGCTATGGAGCCAAGCGGCCCAGTGGGGTCCGGCGGCGTTAGCTCCACACTCTCTCCCGTGAACTCCTTGTCGAAGTACCTTGTATCCGTATCGGACGTGACCTGAGGCTTGAAAGGCGGCGGTATCTATGCGAAAACAATTTACAATAATTTTTAAACAAGGCCCTCGGAAAAGTAATCCCCTAATACACACCTTTTTCAGCACCAGATCTGTCCAGTTAATACTCGCAAAGAAGGGATGTGATTGTATCTCCAGGACATCATCTTTGCCGCCGCCCAAACGCTTCTTGGGATCCTTGGCCAGCAGACCAGCTAGCAGACTTTTCGCCTCATCTGAGATATTGCGTGGGAACTTAACCTCCTCCATCAAAATCAATGTAAAGAGCACATCATGATCACGATTGTAAAACGGAAGACGACCACAGCTCTGTCAATAGATCCCATTTGATGATAATCGAATAAATAAGTGTAGTTCTAGTCTTACCATCTCGTACATAACCACACCGGTGCCCCACCAGTCCACCGCCTGGCCGTAGTCAGTATCGTCTAATACTTCCGGAGCCAAATACTCCGGTGTGCCGCAGAAGGTTTTCGTTGTGCGGCCGAAGGTGATGTCCTCCTTGCACAGACCGAAATCGGCGACCTTGATGTGGCCATCTTTGTCCAGCAAAAGATTCTCCAGCTTCAAGTCGCGGTAGATGATGCCCTGTGAGTGCAGGTAGCCGAGGGCCGAAATGATCTCTGCCCCGTAGAAGCGGGTGCGGTCTTCGGTGAAGACGCGTTCGTGGCTCAAATGCCAGAAAAGCTCGCCTCCGTTCACGTACTGCATTACGAAGCACAGGCGGTCGTTGGTTTGAAACGAATATTTAAGTGACTGCGATGGAAGAACAATATTTCAATCAGATATTCTCATTGAACTGTAGTTAAGAAAATCAATACTCACAATGAGGAACGGATGATTTGTGGACTTGAGCACACGACTCTCGGTCAGGGTGTGGGCCACCTCGTCCTTCTGTATGATGACCTCCTTTTTGAGAATTTTGATCGCGTACAGCTTGGCGGTAGCCTTCTCGCGGCACAGGATAACCTTACCGAAGGTGCCCTTGCCGAGCACCTTGAGGAACTCAAAATTCTCCAAAGTCTGCAACAAGATAAGGTTGAAGGGGTCAGTTCGATCACGCTCCAGGCCAGTGACTGACCAGCCCGCCACCACATACTTACCACTTTCTTAACGCCGCTGCTGTTGCAGGTGGTGCCCTGCACCGAGAACTGTTCGGAAAGCTCGACCTCGGCAATGCCGGCCATGTCCACGTCGGACATGTCTGTCTGAACCGATGGCGACATGGCCACCTCGCCCACATCAATGAGCCGGCTGGACACATTGCGAATGGCCTCCGTCCACTGCTGACGCTCCAGTTCCGTATCCACGGCGAATGTCCGCTCGATGACCGTGGTCCATTGCAGGCCGCGGATGATAAAGGTGAAGGGCTTGGGGCGGTCCACGGTCATGATCTGGCAGCCGCGCACCGTGAAGTTGTTGAGCAGGGCTTCCGAGGCCGTGCTGGCACTGTCTGCCGGCTTGCTGCGGTAGCCTGTCAGTCGTCCGTCCGAGTGGAGCACAAAGTAGCGTTGACGCCAGGTCTTGATGTGCTCGCCTCGCTTCATTAGCCAGCCCTCCTTGACCGGCTGCGCCTTGATCGTCAGCGAGAGGTCCACATTGGTCAGTTTGGGCACATCGAAGGGGCTGTGCATCGACATGGTTACGGATCGGTTTGTATTGGCCAAGGGGCTCTTGTCTAGCCAGGATGGCTGCCTCCAGCTGAGGTTTTCTCCGCCGCTGCGGTTTATGTCGACGCTGGTGCCGCTGCTGATGGTGCTGGACGATTCCGGGATCCTAGATCCTTGCGCTGGGGCGCTGGCCAGGGAAAATGGTAGATAATTCGTGTTGAGGCTGTTCCAAAAACCCTAATGACAAGCAAATGGGGTACCTATAAAATATAAAGAACAATTAGAAGAATACCTATTTAAAATTATAAAACATCGACAAACGTTATAAAATATAAAAAAAAATTTATATCTAAAAGAGTTTATCCTGCTGTATCCAGTTTATAACAAATGCTAAAGGCAGCCATTTTTAGCACTTGAAGATAGGGAATCGTAACTTAACAAGTTCAAAGTACAATTAAATAATTGTTTCCCTTATGACGCTGATCCACAAATCCTAGAAATGTCCGACACAAGTTACCTTAACAGGGGGAAATAAAGAACTGAAAGGGTGCCGATTATATCCAGGTACATCCCCCAAAAAGCGCTTATCTCACGCTGGTAGTAAACAATTGTTATTGTCATTTTGCATGTTTATGACAAATGCAGTTGGCGCTTGCGTCAGCAGCTGGGGCAAAGCATTCGCGGCATTTCCGCTGCCATACAAAAAGGGATCGCAGTGGATCCGATTGGAGTGGATCCGATTGGATTGTGTTGGATTGGTTCTTAGTCACTGGCCCACATGCAGATGTAGGCGCCATCGTCGCCTGCTTTTTTTATATTGTTGCGGCTGGCACTTTCGGCTTCAAACGAAATTCCCCGCCATGTTACGCAGCAACACAGCAATACAGCGATACGAGCGAAAATTGTTTGCATTTTGCGCAAAATGAAATCAAAACAAGTCGACGACGGAGACGACTGTTCATGAACTTATATATGTATATAGGCGACACACACTGCCAGCACTCACACTCGCACAGCTGTGCAAAAGCATATTCATTTACAATTTGCGCAAATGTCAACGACGGATGGCCGCCGGCTGTACAAATTTCGCTATCTATCTAAAACTGTAAACAAATGTACATAAAATAAAAATCGACAAAATATACACACACTCGCAGGCACTCGCACACTCAGACAATTTACACAGACAGGGCTGCATTGCAAAGTGCGAGGCCAGACTGTGGATGCGAGGGGGAGGGAGACAGACAGTACGCGTGTCTGCCACAAAGGTGTGTGTGTGTACAAGTGTTTGAATGTGTGTGAGTGTCTGGCCGTGTGGGTGTGAGTGAGTCTTGAGCTAGTGTGTGTGTGTGTGTGGGCAGCGGCGACCTAGCAGCGCAACATGTCAAATCACTTCGTGGAAATGGTGGAAATGCTTGCGGAAAAACTAAAAAACCCACCTAGTTTTGGAAAAAGAACGCGACTTTTGCTTTCACTACTATTTGTTTTTTAGCTCGTTTTGGTCTTTTGCTTTTGATGGTGACGGCAGCGACAACGTCACGGGCCTTATTATTGTGCGTGTGTTGTTGCTGCTGCTTCAACTGCTTGGTGTTGTTGTTGTGTTAAGGTGCCGTCTGGCAGAGGACGGAACGGAACACACACACACACTCACTCGCGCACTGGAAAACACGCAGATTCAGCCTATTAATGCCACCCGAAGGTTTCCACTCGCTGTTTTTTGGCCTTCCAACGCGACGCGCACCAATTGCAATTGCTTAAAACCTATTTTTCATAAAAACAATAACGCACACAGGCACAATAAATTTTCCATGTACCGTTTGGTTTTTACGCTTCACTTTTTTTCGATTGTATCCCAGTGGGTATATTTAGTATTTTTCTGAGCTACGAAAATACGCTTTGTGGGAAAGACATTTCTCTCTGGTAACACTGTTCCATTTCCCTGAACTGGTTCCCTTTTCAGAAACGGTCACCCTGATGATCATCGGGTGTATTAAATTAATTTTTTATTTACAAAAATAAATCACTCACTATTTATGGGATTGGCTGAGAAATTTGTTTCACAAAAATTTTATTTTTTACAAATAAGTAATTAGAAATCACGGCTTCCGCCACATTTTTAATTAATGCTTAGGTCCCAATGCAGCTCTTTAAAAAAGTTCCTAGCCTATTTTTAACAAAAGCCCCTAAAGCACAATTTTTCCGATCAATTATATTTTATACAAATTTTACACATATTTTTCTATGATTAAAATAAAATGCGGCTACGAACTAAAATCAAAGTCGATGTATTAATACAACGACGATTATTTAAAAATGATTTTTAATTAAATTTTATAAACGTATTTAAGAACAAAAAAATATGTTTAAGCAATGACCTAATATTTTTCTAGTTAAAATATCTGGGATCACTTAAATTTCGGCAATTAACAACACTAACCGATTACTTTTAACGGCTTCCGGCTTGGACATTTTCGCAATCCTACGGTTCGAGTCTGTGATTTAATATAGCGAAGTTTTCAACCGCTTTATAGAAAAATAGCCTATTTTTTGCCAACTTCTTTTTAAGGCGTTTTGGTATTTCTGGTTCTCAGAAGTGGGGGCACACTGCTCAGATTTGTTTATGCAGAACGCGAAGTCTTGAGCCGAAAAAGCGAAAAAAAAATAGCAGAGATAAAAGTGCCCAAGTGGCAAAGAATAAGGTAAAGAACTTGTAATCCGATCGGAATGCAATGTTATGCCTGCCACTCCCGTATTAACAACTGAAACTCCAACGCGCATATGTGTGAGGGCCTGCAAAGTGTGTGTGTGTTATCAAAAAAGGCGTAGAAAAGTGCAAAAACAAAGGTGTTATTGACTCGCAACTTTCTTTTTCTGCCTTTCGTGTGTATCTTTGTGGGCTGTGGCTAAACATTAGCCGAATAATACCAATTCGAATCGCATAAGTAATGAGGCACCATCGAGTGCATTCAATTAGTAGGAGAAATGGAAATGGAAAATTGGAAGAGATGTGCGAGAGACTGCAGTCTGGGCCAATCAATACTAATACCAATGCAGTCACGAGCCCCCCTTTTGTTTCTGTGTATGTGTGTGTTCGTGTGAAAACAAAACAAATGTGTGCTGGCTGTGGAAAAGAAAGCGCATAATTGAATAATAAATAATAACAGAAACAGGGCAAATGGCAACGACTCAATGACAAAAGCAAAGCCGCCACCGCAGCACAAGAAATGTGGCTGCAAAAGTGAAGAAAATATGCCATTGTTTATGTGATTTGCAAATGTGCAGATTTACACATATACGGTTGCAAGATAACTGTTGTTGTGCGGGCGGGTGCATTGCTCGGCAGGGCCTTCCGTTTGTAAGAGTGAGACAGCTGTAGGCAGAGAGCAGGACAGTGGGACAGGGGCGGATCCAGTGGGAATATCTAAGAAAATACATAGTTCCTCCTTTTTGATGACTTCGTATTAATAATACGATAATAAATGAGTTTTTAATAACGATCATATGATTAATAGTTTTTAATCCGCAGAATAAACCTATGATTACATTTTTTTTGTTAAGTCATTGAACAGAAAATTATTTTTGTTTAAAAAAAAAGAAATTTTTGTTTTCTTAAAATAAAATAAAGCTGTTATTGAATATTATTCTTCATATTATATATTTTTAACTTTCAAATAGTTTGTCCGTTTTGTATGGTTGCGATCCGCCCCTGAGCAGAGAGCAGAAGCGTAAGAGAGCAGTGCAAATCAAATTAGTCCAGACTTTTGGTCACGCCCTTGAACTTTGCGTTAACCCACTATCAACCCACTCTGCAGTTAGCACCTAAGGACCCCACACACACACCACCACACAAGATGTTCAACTTTATGAAAAAGAGTGCCGGCGATGAGGAGAAGGAGCGCCGCAAGCGCGAGAAGAAGCTACGCAAAGAGGCTAAGGGCACCACTGGTGGACAGGGAATTGGCGGCGTTACTGGCGTCACCGGGAGCATGAGCACCGACGAGCTTCTTCGCTTGGATGAGGTGCGTCGTTCGCTTAAAATCCGAGGACGGCGCAAGGAGAAGGAGAAGCTGCCTAGTGGAATTACGGCGGACTACAGCGCCGACTTCTTCGCCGCCCTTAATGCGGACGCAAATGGTGGAAGCAACGGGGGAGCAGCGAGCGCTGCAGATCCCGAGCAGGATCGTGGCAATGAGGAGATTGTAGCATCTGTGATGACGCACATCGAGAGCCGAGCGTCCAACGGCGCCGCCGTGAGTGTCAACTACAGCGAGGTCACACATTCCCTGCTCTCCGGCGGACTTAAGGTGAGTTCCTCGTTTGCACCGAAAAATCGAAGTTAATTCTATGTATCCTTCCTTTAGAGTCGCTTTCTGCCGCCTATACCCCCGAAACCACCTAAGCGTGGCATCCTAAAGGGTTCGCGCAGCAACATGACCAATGTGCACGAAGAGATTAGCTTTGCAGGCGGCGCTGGAGGAGCCGGCGGCACTCCAGAAATGCTCTTGCGAAACACCTTCCAGAATGAGTTGCTCTATGAGGGAGCCGGTAGAGGGGCAGGTTCGATTGGCTCCAACTCCAGCCAACATGGCACCTCTTTCACTTCCGTGGAGAGCTTGCGCAGCGATGGAGAACAGCCGGGTGGTCAGCAGCGGGCCATGACTCTGCCGGCCAACGCCCGGTATGGGGCCACTCCCCAGGGCAACAGCCAGGGATCCCACCTCCACGTGCTCACCTCGCCGTCGCCCAGCGCCGACAGTCTCACAGATACCACAAACTCCTCGTTCGCCACACCTCCCTTCTCGCTGAGTCCCGTTGGCGAGTCGCAGGGCATCGACCGCTGGGCCCGCGTCCATGCCTTCGAGGATGTGGAGCTTCCACTGCCACCGGTGCAACTGGTGCAGCTTCCACCGCCTAGACAGTTGATCATCAGGCGGCAGAAGTCACCGCGGCAGGACTTCGGCTTCAGCCTGCGCAAAGCCATCTGCTTGGACAGAACAGAGTCTCTGACTTCGCCCATTTTTAGGCCGGTTATATTCGCCGAGCCAGGTGCTGGGGGCGGAGCCACAGGTCTGCTGCCTGGGGATCGCCTCATCAAGGTCAATGGAACGCCAGTCGGCGACTTGTCGCGAGAGATCATCATCGAGATGATACGGAACAGTGGCGATGCTGTGACAGTGGAGGTATGTATGAATTCCGGGAAATCACTAATCCCTTTCTCAAATTCTAGAAGCAAACATTCGATAAGAAGCATTATGATAAGAACTAACATTGGTGTCTTTATGTTATGAATTGTACCTAGCGTTGTCTAAGAATTCTCTTTATTCAGGTCTTGTTAAATTAATGTATATTTTATTTCTCTAAAATCTTTGCCTTCTACTTGGATTCTATTGACAAAGTATTAAAACACATAAAATTATGAAAATACATCTTTCTTGTAAGCTTGTTTCTGACCTTTGAATACCTTATCATTTATCCAGGTCCAACCAGTCGCTGAGTTGGTGGAGCTTAGCAAGCGATGCATGGCACCCAGCACGGCCACCGTGGAGGAGATCGATCATTCCATTACCAACGGCAACTGCAATACCCTCAGGCGCAGTGCCAGCAAGCGCTTCAAGCGTCAGGTGAGTCTCGATCGCATCCATTAGTGGGTCCAGCGCACACACGTGATTGATGGAGCTGACTGCCCGTCATCGCAGCATTGCAATGAGCCAAACCTCGGGGCTTTGGTTGCATAACAACATTATCCATTAGTATGTATTGGACTGTGATCAATTATGAAAAGCTCAGGTGCATCTCTGGAATTATTTACGATCTTAAGAATGATGTTCTAAGCTGAGAATTTGTTAAGTCGGTTTTGTTGTTCTTTATGCAATTAGAAAGGTATAGTTTGCTGACTAAGATAGCTCTTTGGTATTCCCATTAGGCGTTTCCCGTTTAAGTTCAGTTTCCGTTCGCAAAATTTTTTTTTATTTATTTACAACCTTTTCTTATATGACTCAATGTCAGTTTTGCGGAATGTAGTTAACTAGTTATTTTGTTTGAGATAAGAGTGAGTTATGTCATAGGTAGTAACTGTTGTGGCCAATTATTTTTGGTATTCATTGGGAGTCTACATTCCTGTAGAGACATCTGAAGCCACTTCCCTAATACCCTTTTCCGATTTTATTCTAAAGTTTTAAGTAAAACTCATTAAAATTTTAAGAAAAATCAAATGAGTTATGAGTTTGTACATTTAAAATATCTTTGGAGAGCATTCCATAATCGCATATTTCCTTATCCATCTTGTCGGCTGCAATTCTTATTGACTTGTTGACTATGCTAGAAACGTGTTTGACATTTTCTCGGCGTGTTTAACTTGCACAAATATTGTGAAATGTGGTCGCCAGCTCAGGCTCTCGATCTTAGCCAGCGATCTATTCACCTATGTGTGTATCTATCTATCTGTCCACATATCCAGCTCGGCCTGGCCCTTTCTATAAATATTTACGTGTATGAAGTTGGTGGAGCAACTTGGGTGGGGTGGTGCTAAGGCGTTGACATATTTCACCGCCTTACTCGCTTCCATTGAAGAACATGAAAATAAAACCAAACCGATTTGGCAACACTGTGGAAAAACTCGAACTGCATTTGGTATGCACTTTATGCCTTTTAACATTCGGCAGCAGCAGCAGCAACCCACTTCGAAGCGTCCAAAAGACGGCGATCCGTGGATTTTCACGATCCATGAGTTTGCCTTCGGCTAAAGCACCAAGCAAGCAGCGCAGCCAGCGTCGACTGCTACGCCGACTGCGACTTCAGCAGCGACTGCGGCTGCAGCTGTGTGTGCATTTCTACACCCACTTGGGGCTGCCTACACAAATATCAGGCAAAGCCACAACAAAACATGAAAGAACTCAATGGAGGCAAAGTCCAGACTTTCAGATACCTATTACTCCCTTCCTGGAGTGAGAATTTTATATCTTATACAATCAATCTTAAATATTTTTTTATTTAAAAACATTCTTTATGAAGTATTTCTTAATGGATATTTTATCTAGTAATAAACAGAATCTAATATTTAAATTTATTAATGCATTATCCGCAAAACTTTAAAAATAAATCATAATTTGAATAAGCGATCTTATCTCTCTATTAGCTTAAGATTCGTACTTATTCGAACTCCTTTAAGAAGGGCAATTAGTTAAATAAACATAATTTTCCCATATTGTGGGGGAACTAAATAATGAAATGCATTTCTTTATTTGTATTGACATAGGTGGTTGCAGAGGGGAAGTATTCCCAGGCAACAAACTAGTTTGGATTGCAATTCCAATTCCATTGATATCAATGTATGTCAAAAAGTGCCATTTGTTGAAAAGCTATTGCTTATCCATTTACGAATTCGAAACAACGATTTCCACAAAAGACTTGATTGTTATCCTATTTCCTATCCCCAATTATCTGTCCCAAAGTTGGGAGCTCGTGTCGGGTTCTGGTTCTAGTGCCAGTATGCCCTGGCACCCACCGAACTACCGGGTACCATCATGGGCAGAGGCTGAAGCAGCGCTTCACATCGCTGTCGACGCAGTGTGTTTTCGTCTGTGCTTCTTTTTTTTAGTTTTTGTTGTGTCTTTGGATTTGTTTTTGTTTGCGTCTCGGGGTTTGTTGTTGTCGAACGGCTCGCAGTCGCTGCGCTTGGAGCAGGGCCGTCAGTATGCTGAAAACTTTGCCCAGGTTCGGTACGGAAATCGAAATCGAGGAAAGACTGCGCGACGCCCACGGCGGAGTCCGATGTTGTTACCAGTTGTTGTGGCTTTAGCTGCCTGGCGGAGTGGATTTCGGTGTTTTGTGCGCCATGACGATTACGATTCTGGCTGTCACTCGGTCTGGGTCTGGACTGGCTTTAATTCATAACTCGCTGGCGTCGTCGCGTTCGTGACTTGAGTCTTACAGTGCAATCAATCAATCAGTGCGGTTTGGTCCATCGATCGGTCGATGATTGGCCATTTTTAGACGCGCAATTGTCTAATGTCAAAGCGCTAAGTGCTCCAGCCACAAAAAGCCAAACAGTTCCAAGGTTCCGCGGGCGCTCCAGTTACCCAATCGTCGACTACTTCCCGCTCCGCTTAGACTCTGGCTATTGTGTATCTTCGCATCGGTATCTGTATCTGTATCTGCATCTGTATCTGTATCCGTTTTCGTATATCTGTTTGCTGTTTGCTAATCCGCTCTGGTCATGCTCCGCGAGCTGGCCATGACAATTGTGTGTGCCCAGTGATCGCATAACAGCCATGTTCCTCAAGCCCAAAAGCTTTGAGCAGTCGCTGCGCGGCGGAATCGTTCCGGCTGTGCCAGCAGCTCCGGGATCGGGTCTGAATCCCTCTTTTCACAAGGGTTGCACGGGCAAGGCCCATGCCTGTGGAACGAACAAATCCCAGCGAACTGGAGGAGGAGGAGGAGGGTCTGGAACGGCAGCCACCGGAGGATCGAAGGCTGGCCGGCAGACGCCCAAGGCTCAGCGCAAGAACAGCATAAGTTCGGAGACGATCAGCGAGAGTGGTTCGGAGAACTCCAACAGCTGGCCCTCCTCCTCCTCGGCGGCGGTTCCTTCTACCGCTCCGCCTCCGAAACCGCCGCGACTGGCGGCCACTAAAGCTAAGGAGGCGGCTGCCTTGGCTGGCTCTCCACCACAACCTCCGGTCACGCCAATATTCGAGCGATCAACCAAGAGATCCCTCAGTTTCCGGAGCAGCAACAGTAAGAATGCTGAAGCGAAGGCTTCCCCGGGGGAAACTCCTCCATCCGTCCACCTTGGAACATTTCCGCCGTAGCTGCATCGAAGTATGCCGCTGCAGCTGCCGCCAATGCCCCACAATCGCCAAATCCGAGCGCCAGGAGTTCCTTCCGCCGACGTCGCGATGCCCAGAACATTGGTCTCCAGTGGCCGGCCATTTGGGCCAGTTCCCTGGCCGCCAACTATAAAAACTACGATGCCAGCGTTAAGCAAAAGGTGCGCACAAAGAACTACACTAAGCTGCAAGTTTTTTTTTTGTTGGTAAAAGTTGAGTTAATATGGAAAGTTTTAACAAAGAAAATAACAACAAAAAAGATTATGGGATTAAGTTGAAAAGTAACATTTACATTTAAATTTTATAGTTCAATTTTCAACTTCATATTGGGTAATTTATAAAATAAGTTTCTTAAATCTACTCAAATCGGTCTCAGAATCGCCACAAACTTGGTTGGACAGTGTGCGGGGAGCATTTGTGTATATCCCACAGAAACTTTCTAGTACTCCCCTCCACAATCGATGGGCGCAATAAAGAAACAAATGAATGGACAAGCCGACGAACGAACAAAAGATGGAATCGATCGATAGATCGCCGAACCATGACCCAATGTACGATTTAGTTGTTGGACCTTTTATTATTATGCTCGGACGGTGCGTGGGCCGTCGAATCCCAAGCTCATAATTTACGGTATGGTACGGTCGTCGTCTTGTCGCTGCATTTATGGCGGTATGACTTTATGGCTCAATACGCCTGCGAACCCGAAGCCGAAGTCGTCGAGCGGAAGTGTTCATTTAGGTTCGAGTTAGCTCCGCACTCCGCCTATTTAAAGTTCTTTGTGAAATGGGCGGGCGGGGTATTGGAATCGGGTTGCATAACGCAGTGAAAGATAGCTGGATATGAAATCCAGACGGTAGCTTTCGGTTAACCCCGTCTATCCATTCATTCCATCAATCGTCTATCCATCCATTGCCTTATCCTATCCGCTAGCCATGTTAATTAGTCAGCTCTGATGTCTCTGTGTGGCGTCTACGCCTCTTCTTCGTCTAATTTGTGTGCTCGCCATCACCATCATCGTCATCATCATCATCAACAGCTGCGGCTAAGTCTGCGGGTTCGTTGACTTCGCCGTGAAGTGGAGTGCAGCATTGATTGACAGTGGACATGCGCCCGGGGAACTACTTTGTTTATCTTAATATTCCTCTAAACAAGTTCCATCCGATTGATGAGTGTTCGCGCGCTGTAAACTTAACCGGGCGATCAAATTGTGGCCCAGTTGGAAACTAATTAGGCTGGTCCAACGGCGCAGTGAATAAAACTAAAAGACATAAATAATATCTTCCGCCTAAATTGGGTTTACTTTGGGTTCGTTTAGGATATAGTAGTCGTTTCAAGGGTATTTGTGTTGATTCGATTTGATTTCTGGATTGGTTTATATCATAAGAAACTTTTTACTATTAGTGAATGGCATGAAGTGTTTTTATTAATTAAAGGTCTTTGAACTCTTAGTTTATATTTATTAAAGTATTTGTCTTATAAATGGAATTTACTTTTCCTTCTAAAGATATTTTAGTCCAATACCAAAACTTGCAACAGTTTTAATTTCGTTTAAAGTCTATAAACAATCGTTTGAATCTGTTGAAAAGCCATAAAAATTAAGTGACTAAGAACATAATGAAAGACTACATTCGATTTAACATCCGTTCCGGCTTTCCCAACGTCTAACAAAATTAATTAGTTCCCCGCGCACACTCTTCCGAAACGTGCCTTTAATTGAGGGCTATTGAACCTTGCACAATATTTTCATAATTCGGGAGAAGATCTCTCTGGCGGATACCATGTGGAGGGGGATGGATCTTGGTGGGCAGGGAGCTTGGGAGGCTGCTGTTGCTGCAACGACTAAATGCCATTTATAGCCACAAATGTGAACTGATGCCGGCGACGACGTTGGTGGGTTGCATAATGGCGCATCCGCGTCGTCGTCGTCGTCGTCGGTTTGGCTGTCTAGCCCAATAGCATTTGGCGCGTCTAGGCGGTTAATTAGGATTTAGAAACATCATCAAATTTAGAAATGCACCCGAAATAAACAGAGAGCGCAACTTTGTTGGATGCGGCAGTGGAGTAGGGATAATAAATGGAATAAATGCGTGAAAATGTGCCCCGATCCGCGCCGATCCGAAAATAAACTCGAAGTACACCCCACACCGCCGGCGAACTCTGCTGCTGCTGCTGCCGCTTCAGTTGAAGTTGCGCCGACAAAATGTTGACCCCAATTTAACTCAATTTTCGTGTTCGCTTTGTTTGTTTTCCATCTTTTTCGCAGAGCCGCCACGAGAATGGCAATGGAGGCGGAGTCGAAGGAGGAGGAGCCGAAGGAGTGGGACGCAATCTGGAGGCGGATGTTGCGGATGCCAGTCAGCCGGAGCGCGTTTGGCTGGTGCATCGCGGTGGCTTCACAGCCGCCATCCGGCTGCCGACGCCTCCGTCTGGCCGGGATGAGGAGCACAAGCTGAATCTGCGCCTGCTGCACAACGGGGAGCAGCTGACCGTCGACGAGGACGACGTGGAGAAGCAGAACAGCCCCGCTCTCGACCTGGCCGAGGACATCTGCGAGCTGAAGTATCTGAACGAGGCGTCCGTACTGCATTGCCTGCGCCAGCGATACGCCAGCAATCTCATCCACACCAAGGCGGGGCCCACGCTGCTCGTGGTCAATCCCATGGCCCCGCTGTCCCTCTACTCCGAGAAGGTAACTAACTGGTTACTGGTCCGAGCTGGTCACTTATCGCCTGCCGTCTCTCTCGTCCGTAGGTTGTCTCCATGTTCCGCGGCTGCAAGACGGAGGACATGCCGCCCCACGTCTACTCACTGGCCCAGACCGCCTACAGGAGCCTGGTCGAGACGCGGCGCGACCAGAGCTTGATATTCATGGGCCGATCTGGTTCTGGCAAATCCACCAGCTTCAAGCATGCGCTCAACTACCTGGCGTTGGCAGCTGGTATGTCTAGACTATACACTGTTGCTGCTGCTGCTGCTGCGTTACCACCATCTCATTGTGCTGGCTGGAGGCTGCTCCTACTCGCCTTCGCTTACGACTTGCAGTTGCAGTTGCATTTTGTTTGTTTTCCTTTTGGCCGTAGGCTGTGCGGGCTGCTGGCTGCTGGCTGGCCCAGTTTGCCAGGGTGCCACGCCAAAATGCAATCTGTGTTCGATTGGCTCATTTGCATTGTTGGCCAAGAAATGCAGCTGCAATTAGTCAAGCCTCCCATTTGGTTCCATTGTTAGATTTATGACCCAAAAAGGGGAACCGTCTAATGAAAATGTAAATTGCCAAGATACGGATTATTGATATTCCATTTTATTGGGCAACTTATATTGCACAAGATAGAAAGATAACTTCAGTGACGTAAAAATTAACTTCTGTTATGTAACCACATTAATATTTTGGAGGCAAATTAATTTGGATTATCGATGTTATCTTTACTTTCTCTACAATATTTAAATATGTATTAACATATTCCACCTCAAACCTGAATATTTTAATTTTTTGTGAGCTTCATTAAAATATCAGAACAAAAGATATTGTTCATTAATATGCACAAAACAGAATTTTGTTTTGATAAATTAAATTCTAAAGCTTTTTGATCTAAATAAAATAAAAGAAACACTTTTTCTGCTCTTTAGGTGCCTACAATAACTTCATAAATGCGGAGAAGGTCAACGCTCTGTGCACGATTCTGGAAGCTTTTGGAAATACAAAAACTTGCCTCAACTCGAATGCCACTCGGATGACGCAGCTGTTGAGTCTGGATTTTGACCAAACCGGCCAGATTGCATCTGCTTCGTTGCAAGTGAGTTTTAATTAAATGCAGGCAGTCGTATGGTTTTCATACCTGGTTTTCCGATTAGGTTCTGCTCCCGGAGCGTCAGAGAGCTGGTCGTCGCTTGAGCCACGAGCACAGTTTCCACATCATGACGCGACTCCTGGCTGGCGCCGCTGGATTGCTGCAAAAGGAGCTGCATTTGGAGAACATAACCTCCGAGGACAGCCACCCGTTTATATCGCTATCCCAGAAGCTGGAGGATCGCCATCGAGCGGCCAATGACTTTATGCGCACGGTTCAGGCCTTCGAAACGCTGAACATCGATGCCAAGGCAGTGCGCGGAATCTGGAGCATTCTGGCAGCCATCTACCATCTGGGCATTGCGGGTGTCACAAAACTGGGCACTGGATCCACGGCGCGAACTCAGTTTGCCAATCCCACAGCTGCCCGCAAAGCGGCAGGTCTGTTGGGCGTAAACTTGGAGGATCTGTCATCGGCAGCCTTTGGTCTCACGCAACCCAATGCGCCCAACGGTGGTCTTAGCCCCTCGAAGTCACCCACCTCGGACTCTGGCCACGAGTGGGCCTGGGAATGTCTAGAGGCTTTGGTCATTGGCCTCTATTCGGAGGCTCTGGCTGCGGTGGTGGCTCTGGTTAATCGACAAATCTGCACTTCGGCCCACACAATAGCCTCGATTATGTTGATCGACACGCCCGGCTTCCAGAATCCCGCCAGCTGTGGCCAGCAGGTGGGCGCTACGCTGGCGGATCTGCGTCACAATTACCTGCAGGAACGCCTGCAGATGCTCTTCCACCACACCACGCTGGTTGCGCCACGCGATCGCTACGCCCAGGAGCTGGTGGAGATCGAAATGGATCAGGCTTCGGAGTGCCATCCGGGTCCGTTGATCTCCCTGATCGACAAGGCACCGCAGAACCATGTGGTGCGCTCATCCCAGCGAGATTTACGCGAGCACGATCGTCGGGGTATGCTATGGTAAGATATAACCTCCTTTTCGTTTTAAATTGGTAGTTAATGGTTACTTTTTCTATTACAGGCTACTAGATGAGGAAGCCATCTATCCCAACTCCAATGACGACACATTCCTCGAGCGGTTGTTCTCGCACTACGGTGACCGGGAGCATCACACGCTGCTGCGCAAGTGCGCCGGACCCCGGCAATTTGTGCTCCACCATTTGCAGGGCACCAATCCGGTGCTCTATGCCGTCGATGGCTGGGTGCGACACAGTCGCGAGCATCCCGGCATTCGAAACGCCGTGTCCCTGCTGCAGGACAGCAGTCGGGAGGAAATCAACCGGCTGTACATTGGCTCACTGACTCGGGGATCGGGAGCGATGGTGTTCTGCGGATCCTTCGCTGGATTGGAGGGCACTCAGTCGCTGCGTCGCGTGTCCAGTATTCGGCGCTCCTTCACCACCGCCGGGGTAAAGCGCAACTCCATCATGCTGCAGGTGAAGTTCACCGTGGACGGAATAATCGATACGTTACGGCGCACGGGCACCCACTTTGTCCACTGCTATCTGCTGCAACACAACGCTGGCAAGCACGCCAAGTTCACAGCGAACGGATCACCCAGCTCTGCTGCTGGTCAGGCGGCCAGCGAGGAGGAGATGGTCAATGTGCCACTGTTAAGGAGTCAGGTAGGCTTAAACTCAGTCTCTTAAAGTGATTTCGACAATGCTTAAGTTCTGTTCAAATCACATTTCTAGGATAATTCAATTGAAATCCTTCTTTAACAATTTTGTAATGTTTTCATTTGATTTTTTCATTCAGCTACGTGGCTCGCAAGTCCTGGAGGCAGCTCGTCTGCATCGCCTTGGTTTTCCCGAATCTGTGCCATTATTGGAGTTTGTCCGTCGCTTTGGCCTTTTGGCCGGCGATTTGGCTAGCAACAAGGATGTGAGCGTGGAGCAGATATTAGCAGTCAACGAGCTGGACGTGGCCAGCTATCGCATCGGACCTAGTCAGGTGAGTCCTTTAATTTGTAATTAAGTTATTATTATTATTGGCTTATCGAACTACAACTATTTCTGCACGTAGTCCTAAGAAATTATCATCTGGTGTATTTAAAAAAATTAAAATAAGGATGTGGCAATTCAGTTTTAGTACCTACCTTAAAGAATTTACTTTACGCTTTTAACTTTTTGCTTTAAAAATCATTTCGAAAACGGTTGGACTAATTACGTACTTCTCGGCAATTAAGTATGCTGATATACACCAGGTGGCTTTCATATGAAGCAACAGCATTACTTATGTTCTCCTTAAATGGGGGAAAAATCCAAATGTCAAAAATCAATTATGTGCAAAATGAATTGACTATAAATAATTAGAAATTGCAGTCTCTAATTGCTTTGGTAGTTAGACCAACAGGTTTTTGGTAAACATGTGTGTTAAATATTTTGTAGACTTTATGTGTTATTTTGGTGTACCTGCCAGCCGATGAACCAGTTTGATTGGTACCTCCCATTCGTTTCTCCCCCTCAAAGTTGTCTTTCGATCTCACGTTCCTATAACTTTAATCACTCTCCGATGAAGGCAACTTCCCTCTAATTGTTTTTACTCGTGCGTAATTAGTCGGTTAAACCGAAGAGTTGACATTGGCTAAACACACGTTCGATAGTTACTGCATATTAAAAAGGGCAAGATAATCTTGAGCCTATTTTAACTGAACTTGAGGAGTGCTTCAGTTTCGTTCAAGGAATATCCAGCTGGTTATCAATTGTAAATTAATCTTTGCTTTATTCGCATTCTTTGGGCGGAATGTCTCTTAAGGCTACACTTAAGTATAATATATACACCTAGATAAATCACATTTTGGTCTGTCGCAATTCGGTTTACTTGCTTTGGATCTATCCAAATCGCCGGTTCGCCGTCTCCCGATACGTAGACGGTCGGGGTCGACGGACGTGGACCAGTCCATCGGCGGAGCCGTACGGAGATCGCGGCCGAGTGCTGGCATAGAAGATACCCCTCTTGGGCACCGCCGGCTCACCGCCCATGAACTCGTTGCCACTGCATGTCTGAGGCTGAGCTGCAGCTTTTCGGCTGCCTCCGCCGCTGCAGTTGCAGGTGGCCGAGAGCACCGACTGCGCCGAGTTGCAGCGCAAGGCGGCAAACGATTCGGGCCGACGCACCGACTCGGCAAAGTAGAACATGGCCGCGAAGTGGTCGCACACGAAGTCGAATTCCGTGGCCGTGGCGTTGGGACAATGTGGCTGCCCCCGGCCCCAGTTCACAAAGAAGGAGGCGTGGCTGAGCTTGGTGCTCGGATTGCCCAGCAGCGTTACGTCCGTGTGAATTGACTCCACATACAGGGCGTCGTTGACATCCAACCGCTCCTCGGGTCCCAGGCTCAGTTGAGTTAGTCCGGCGGGATCCAAGGCGATAATGGCACCCAAGCGATGGGGCTTCAGCAACTTGCCAGCCAAGCCGGAGATGTGACTCCCGGCACTGTGACCCACCAGGTAGATCTGCTCGTAGGGAACTCCTGTGTTGTCGTGCAGAAAGCGCAGCAACTTGGCCACATTGGCAGCTATCGCAGGAAGCTGCTTGGAGACACGTGGATAGCTGATATCCAACGCCTGGCGACTCCAGTCCAGAATTATAACATTGTAATTACCCCGGGATAAGTAGGCATCCTTGATGGCGGCATTCGAGCAGGAGGTGCTCTTCCCAGCCCAGCCATGAATTGATACCCTAGAGAAAAAGAAATAAATAATTGTTCTTGAAAGAAATCATTTCAAAGCTCTTTCAAAGTGTATTAATATACTTTTTTTTATGTCAATCAACTTTAAAAGTTATTTGCATAATATAAAAGATTTTTGAATTTATTGGATTCATTTTAGCGACCCAACTTGAACTTTATAAAATTTAATTTTATTCAAATCAATTCAGTTCGTTTATTGATATTATGTTGTTTGGTCCACTCACCTCACTGGCCACTTGGGATTGAAGTGCGAGTTCTTCAGCATGCTGACATCTCCTGGCCGCAGAAACTGACGCTCCTCCGGATTAAGGGGCGTATAGAGATCGTATTGCAGCAGCTTGGATTGCGGTGGGCGAGGCCGTCCAAGGATGATGCCCGCCTCGGTGTTGAGCATTGCCTGGATAACATCCGAAATGGACACGTCGCACTTCCCGGGAGCATAGGCAAAGTACTGGGCAGACACAGCCGCTGAAAGAGCAGATGGAGGCGAGGGTTTGCAAATCGAACATTAAGATCGGATTGGGGTGATTGAAACTCACTTCCCGTTGCGCCGAGAAGCAGCAGCCACATCCACCGGCTTAATATATGCATTCCCGTTAACGATCCCATAAACCGCACTGGCCGAAACCCGAAAATTCGACGACAATTCACGACAAGACGTCAATTAAAATCCACTTTTAAGTGCGATTTAAGGTGCTCTGTTGTTTTTCGAATTCCCGTCTTAATTCGCGATCCAAATTTTATCGCTCGTTCGCGCCGCTCACTAAAAGAACGCTTAATTTCTGAGCGGACGACGCACACCTCCGAATCGTTACAAGCTCCGAGCCGAAGTATTGCAAGATTCTAGACGGAGGCTTGGTTAAATAAAGCCCGCTGCGTTCTGTCTCTGTCGTCGGCGATCGGCGAGCGGCGAGCGGTAAGCCTACCAACAAATCAAAGGCATCAGATTCAGCAGCAGCAGCAGCAAAAGCGTCAGCAGAGCGGTCACTGTCATGATGAACGACCGCTATGGCAACTGGTTAAAACGGCGGGCCGGTCAATCCCTCTCGGCAATTGCAGTGGCAGATGTACTCGCACATCCATTTTTTATTTTCATTCTCCTAAGTGCAGGCAAACACTCCACGGATTGTCAATAAAAGGGATAGCGACAACTGGTCGAGTAATGGATCAATGCTAATTCAAGCAGCTATCTCAGGCATGCTATATCGACTCTAGTTGATTAGGCTTCTTCACACTTGCTAATTTTTTGCATTTTAATGCAATTTATTCTGCAAACAAAAAACGGCAGGTCAAATTAAATTATATTTTTAGAGTCCATTGTGTGATTAGGTTATTTCAGTTCATTTTAAAGAAATAAGTTACTATAATTATTTTAATTGTAACCATTTTGCCTGGGCATTGCCCAATTTTGTACAGGTTATAAATAACTTAGAAAGAGAAATTTTAACTTCGTTATGAAGATTCTACATGAACACTGTTAAGCTTGTATTCTGTCCAATACGATCATTGATCATTTCGTCGGTCAATAGGCTTTCACTTGGCCAATGGGATGTCTTAAGATATTCATTTATGCCTTGATTATAAATGATTTTGTAGTATAATATAATCGACACGCACATCTGAGAGTGATTTACAGTTGCGGGTCGATAACTGCCATCGCCAGTTGGTTGATCTTTGCCAGTTGTTCGCTTATATAAGTTGACCGGATCATTAATATTAATTGGAAAACTGTCAAAGGCTGAGTCAATCAGGTGAACTGTCGTTTGGAAAGGGATTGTCTATTACACTTGGATGGATCAGATTAAATATATATAGTAATTGCACTGGTTTGTCTATTACATTTCGATGGGTTAGATTAAATAATTACACGGTGATTGAAAAGCGACCAGTAAACTTAGTTGGATCACAAACAGTTATTAGCAGTAGGCACTACTTAAAATATAGCAACTAGATCTTGTAGATCAAACATTGTTGTACCCGATTTAGGTTAAATTCCGATCAAGTAAAATGAGGTCGGTAAACAGAAAGCCGCGAGTCGTTGATCTCAATTAGAACGCGGCACTTCCTCACTTTTCACCTGCGCCACACGAAATGCGGCAGAGTTAGTTGGTGACTGGGCCAAAGATCCCAATTGGGTTAGGGTTCAGCTCAGAGAAGCGGGCTCGGAATTTTGGGCTGTTTTGCGAACCATTTAGCAGGTGTTAGGCTGGCTTTACGACTTCCCCTCCTCTTCTCCCCTCCTGTTTTTGTTATTTTTGGCTTAAACTCATTCATGCTCATGTTAACATGTATATGTATATATCTTTAAAGATCGTTAAACCCGTGCGTGGCGGTTGGCATTGTCGTGTGTGCTGATCTCGCGCCGACTTGTTACAAACAGTTTATTGACAGGATTTACGTTTTTAGGCAAACACATAATATAATATGTGCTTTTTGTTATTATGGTTATCTCAAACGAAACGAAACGCAACGCAACGGATTCCGTTGGCATTGTTCCGTGAGTATTTGTCCAAACAATTCGCTGTTACTTTCAATCTAATCGAAAAGTTACCTTGGAATTCGTCGGCTGTCGTTTGCCATCTACAAAGTATTGAAACGTTTTCTGGCGTCAGTCTCTTGTAATCGCTTATGGCATGCGAACAATCACCGCCTCGTCAGGATCCTTTAATTAACTGGGATCTACTCTGCAATTATTATATTAAATGGGCACCTCTCAATCATCACGATCCCTTTCCCGATGGAACTGCACAGCAGCGTTCGCATTTTGAGGAAACCTCAAACTGGTTACTCATCTCCACCATAACGTAAACTAAGTAAGCATGACTTGGCCAAAGTTCGCACGTTTGATTTGTTTTCAGTCTCTGGCACAAATGTTGTTGGTTCCTGTCTTAGCTCCAAATCGAATTAGAATAAATTAAGGCTTTGGTATAAATTATGCCTTGAATTAAGACCGATTGACAATAATGTTTTATTGTGTTGCTTCCCTATCAAATCTGTAGGCCTAAACCAGAATTTCCAGTCATTTTAGAACTTATTCATAAGTAATCTATTTTAAGCAATCGTTTGCACGTGTCTGATTTTTTTATGTTGCTAATATATATATTCTAATACATAATAATAATTTATTAAACAGATCTATTTTTCTTTTATTAGTATATTTACATGATTTTTAATTAAAAACATTTAAATTAACTGAGGAAACCAATTATTTATTTCATCTTGATTCAAATTGTATCCAAATATACTCATTTGCTAGGAAGATAGTTGCATGATCGGTTGGTTCTATATCCGTGTCCCCAGGTGTGCTGGCTCCCTGGGAAGATATCGGTTACATGCAGCATCTCTGGATTCACTCGGCTGCCCCTCTGATTTTTGTATTTCCTGTTCTCAGCGGTGCAACTGTGAATCGAACTGTGCTTTCGGCTGGTCAGCATTCAGTGTTCAGCATTCAGCATTCAGTGGTCTGTGGTCAGTGAAGTGATCGTAATAAAGCCACTTTGACGTCACTTGCAGCCAGTCCAGTTTGTGCGTCTTCCCCCGCCTTTCCGCCACTCTTTCTCCGCCCGTCGATGATGATGACGCTGGCTGCTTTCACGGTCAAGTTCATCTCCCCATTGTTGTTGACTTGGGTATAGAATTCCCCAGATGTAATCTCTGCGCGAAGATGGACGGGCCCAACTGCGACTCAGTTGGACTTTGCGAATGGAAATCGCCTGAGCTCTCGCCGAGATGTGGTCGGATAAAAGCGCAGTTTGTTTGCCGTGGAGCGGCAACGCGAGTGCCTCCCATTCGTTGCGCCACCGAGTTCAAATCCTTAGCCTTTTCTGTGGCGAGGGGCAGGAGGATTTCCTCGTGGTGGCCGATCCAATCCTGGGACTGCTGGCCATCGGCTGTGCCGTCGGTGCCCTCGTCGCCATCTGCCTTGTACGTACGGGAAAGTGTCCAAATCCGAATCCGAAACCAATACCGATTCCCCCGATTATGATTACGAACACACGCACGGCGGCGTTGTCGCCTCGCCGACTTTCACCAAAAATAAAAAACAAATGGGGGAAAAAAACGGCAACCAAAACAAAAATCGAAAATGACGTTGCAACCTGCATTCGCCTGCCTCACTGGGAAACCACATTTGACTAGTGCACATTAAAATTTTTCCTTGGCCAAAGTGAAACTTCCAGCGTTCGCTTTCATTAGAAATGGGGAGTGGCTTTCGGCGGATGGCTGATGGCTGTCTGGTTGCCGAACATGATTATGTAACTCGGTTGAGGCGGGTTCTGTCAACGCCAGAAAATGAAAGGGGCGGAGGGGGAAATACCTTTTAAATTAGCTCTCGCTGGTCGAATGGATGGGAAAATAAAAGCCCGAACCAAACTCGATCGAGACACGAAAACTTCATTAACGCCTCCCCTTTTTTATTTTGGAAGGGGGCGCGGCTGGCGTCTTAAGCTTTAATCTCCAGCCTCCCAGACATGCCCTGCATGCTACTATATATGTAAACTAGTTTTTAATTATGAAACAATAACCAGGAAGCTGCGTAAGATGCGCTTCGAACGGCCCGTGAAACCTCATCGCCGTTTGCCGGACCTGTTTGTTTACTTCTGTTATGTTTCTTGTAATTGCCTCAATTTGTTGCCTGAAAAACGGTAAGGGAAGCCCCAATGACATCGTTACCGCAGCTTCTGTCACGCCCATCGTAATGATGATCTGCGGGGGATCAAGGATTTCCTGATCTTTAAATGCGACGTGCATGTGTTTTGAAGATTTCTTCGATATTATTGAGGCTATAGATTAAATGTTGTCCGAGGTTGATGTAATTATCAAACAATTAAATCACAAAGTCTACAAATATTTGCAGATAATTTGTGGCTAAAAAGTGTAAATGGAAATAAATTGTGTAGCCCGCCTTTTCTAAAGTACAAAGTAATTTGCTTATTAGTTTAAACAATGCAATTATACACCCAATAATCTTAGCTAACTGGTTCTACTTTATAAAGCTAACTTAACATTTTAGGGGTTTGTTGGATTATTTTTTTTATAACAGTGCTAATTGCAATCACCAATCATGGCATTATTGATACTGTAATTAGCGTTAATTGGTTTGGGGTTCTAAATCCTTTTAAATTTATATTAACCTCTATACAAAGTTCACCCAACTTCCCCCATTGATCGATAAACCTCTTAAAATTCCGAGTTGTGGAAAGAACGCGCTCTGGTTAACGACCTTTCAACCGTGTTGCAACCTCTGAAGTCTAGACCAGTGCAGCCTATACCAATATTTATTTGTCCCCGATGGCATGGTGCAAGTTGTTTTTGCCCATCTCATTGGGTCTCTTTTGTGTGGGGAGCAGGGCGAGTCCAATTGCTGGCAATGAAAAGGCAAAATGGAAACACAAATAACCAGCCGAGGGCATTTCCAGACCTAGTCCATTGCCTCACTTGCTACGCTTTTCTTCGCATTTGTGATTTGTGACTTGTGATCGCCTTGATGATGGCGATGATGTGACTAATTATGCACTCGTATGCTGGGTAGCCGCCAGTCGAGCATGTGTGGCCAATTGTTGTTGCCGGTAATTAGCATCATTGGTCCAGCCAGCCGGAGGATCGCTGCTTTGGCTTTTGCTTTGGCTTTGGCTTGTTGCATTCATTGCTGCCCCTTTCCCTCGGCCAATTACCAACGGCCGCGACCTCAGCCAAGTTTTTGTTTTGCTTTGTTGTTATATCTTTATGTTGTGTGTAAGTTTTAGTGTGTGTGTATGTTTATGTGCCAGCCGTTTCTCGATAAGCCACTTTCGAATGCAGAGCCAGCATTTGGCTTGGACTCTTGGATTCGGGCTGGGGACTGCGTCTGTTTGGCCAGCCAATTCAGTTGCGTCGCCGAGCCCGAAGAGAAAACACCGTACCACCAGCACCACCGATTGTACAAGACGAAAAAAAAAAAAAATAGCAGGGAAAAAAAGGAAAACAAAACTGATTTGCCGCCGCCCAAGCCGTGAAAGTGGTGGCCAGTTAGCCGCCGTCGAGTATTGGAAAAGGAAACTGCAATTTATTGCGAAATTATATGCACTTTTACTTGCCGCCGCCGCCGCCGTTGCCAGTGGCCAGTGGTCCAATTGCTTTACATAACCAACCGGAGCAATGTACAAGCATACGGTCAAGTCCAAATTGAGCCAGGTGCGCAGTAGTCCTGCGCCCCTTCTCCCTGCCACGCCCACTGTGCCCAAACATGGTTTGGGGGCGGGCAAGAAGTTCTTCTCCCACATCAGGCACAAAATCGAGGATAATTTAACGCCGAAGCTGAGTGGAAAGCTGTACTGCAAGAGCAGCAAGCACACCAGATCCATGAGTGCTCTGTGTACGGTGGATGGAGGATGTGTGGGTGGCAAGTACACGCCGAAGGCTCTGCCCGCGAGTCCTGTGCCCCGGGAAGTGCCGGCCAACAAGATGTCGAGCAGTGTGTGCAGCTATGTGGACAGCGACGAGGAGAGCCACCTGAGCCTGAGTCTCAGTTTGGCCCAGCAGTCGCTGGAGGACGAGATCTTTGCGGAGCTGGAGAAGGTGGCCCACGACGAGAGCAAACTGAACGAGGTGCTCCAGAGCTTCGATCACATACTGAACGAGTATCCGCCGCTGGAAGGAGTTAAGTTGCCTGCACCCGAGGAGCTACCTGCTCCGCCTGCGGAGTTCTCCGATCGCCAGCCCAAGTTGGCCAAGTCACACAGCACATTGAGCATGGGCAGGAGCAGGATGCAGGTCTACCAGTCGCCGGAGCTGGCAGGATCAGTGCTGCTACTGCGTGGAGCAGGAGGAGGAGACTCCAGATACAACTCATTGAGTGACCTGAGTGGCAGCAGGATTCCTGTGCGAAAACAATCGAGTCTGCGCAAGCGCAGTGAAAGTTTCTGCCTGGAGCAACCTTTTTCCTTGCGAACTGCCAGTAAACAGAGGACTCGCTCCATGCTCACCCTGAATACGGCAGGACCTCAAAGAGTTTCCAATCCTGCCCCGATAACCATGCCCAAGCGAGCCAACTCCAGCCTGGAGAAGCGACAAATCGTAGCGAAGCCTATGGCCAGGAGAGCCAACTCCACCTTGAAACCAGGAGCTGCAAAACCGAAATCTCCAAACGCCAGCAGCGATGAGCTGCTGGTCAAGTGCCTGGCCAAGGGTCAGGACATTCTGCGCCAGGTGGAGAGCATGAGTGCCAAGCCCAAGAGAACCGCCAGCCGGGGAGTCACCAAGGAGCACTCGCAGCTGGTGAGGAACAAGAAGAAGCTGCAGAAGCTGCACTACGCCAACGAGGAGAAGGTGGGCAGACCCAAGCTGGAGTCCTGCAAGATCATACCGCCAAAGCTGGGCGAGACCTCGGACAAAAACCAGGAGCTGCTCGTACAAGTGGTGCAGGAGGTGAAGAGCAAACCGCAACAGCCGCTGAAGAAGCAGACCAAGGAAATCCGGGCGGAGCAGGAAGAGGATTCGGATGACTCGGGACACATTAGCAACACGCAGCTCTCCACCTCGACGAGCAACTCCACCGGGAGCCTGTGCGAATCCGAGGGCGACGAATCGGAGGAGCAGCCCCAGGAGACCAAGAGCTGCAGCAAGTCCAACAAGATCGCGGAGCTGCTGCAGAAATTCGAGGCAGCTGCGGCGGCCGGAAAACAGTGTGCCACTGCCACCAGCACCACACATTGTCCCACTACGGTGGCCAGCAAGATGGTAGCCCAGGTGCAGGCGGTGTGCTGCATCCAGACCCAGGTGGAGATCTACCCCACCTACACGAAAGAGGTAACTATGCGGCTGCACTGACGCTGCCCAGCCGATCCTCCCCAGCCACTCCACTCAACCTTACTGTTTGGCCTCTGTCTATATAGTATGCATATCTAACTCTATCTAACTTACGCTGTAAATGGAATAAATATTTATTGTACAAAACAACTTGCTATGGGTTTATCTCTCCCCTCTCCTCTGGCACTATACTCCCCTTTCCCTTCACCGCTTTAGTCTTGCTTTCATCTCCTTTGGCCAAATCCGAGGTCCTAACACCTGGTTTCTGGAGCTCATTTCCTGGATTGTTTGCAGTTATTTTCTGGTCTAATTTTTACAGCCCAAAAGAAATTTAAAACAAGATAAGTCT